CTGAAACCCCTAAAACTGATTCCGGTCATGGACGCGTGACTGGATAAGGTTGTCCACTAAGAAATTGTTTTCAAGAGGTCAGACTCTATTCGATACACTTGCAATGTAAACATATGATTTATTTACTTACTCTTTTCTGAAACAATTTTCTAAACCTTACATTTTTTCTAGTTATTAAACAAATAGCGAACTGCCGGTCTTATTGAGTGACCAATAACAGGCAATGTTGATTCAATGTTGATTCATAGGCATAGGACCTCAGGTAGTTATAATTTAAGTTTTAGAATAAACGGAAGTCATGTTTTCAGTTCAAATATGTTTTAAATCTACGCTAAAACAACATTTGTTTAAGTTAAAAGAATATAAGCAACTTTTCAGCCTTCCCCAAAATTCAAGATGGCGGCCAAAAGGAGATTATGAGGGGCAAATTTAAATTTCGATTTTCAAAGTGAAAGCTACCGTTTTATCCTTGCTATCATGCATTTTTGTAATGCTTAATAGTCAAAGATTAATAGCGGAGCTCTCGCGCGCGCAGCGGAGCACCATGGGTAAGAAAATTTGGTAAACTATCCATCCGAGAAAATTTGGTTATGACGTAGCGTACGCCCACCCGTACACACACTTCATTTAAGCCGATGTCAAAGTCACAATAGATCTTGCACAACTTGACTAGCCTCTTAGTTATGTAAACCATCCGTATGAGTACGATTAGATTGACAGCCGTCAAAATCAGACAACCGCTGACAATTATCACGTGGCCAGAGCAGTCACTTTGCCCCTCCATATAAGCTGATATAATATGTCACACTTACTAATTCAACATAAAAACGAAACTACGCCGGGCAAGGCTGTCAGTTGGCTGACAGTCGCTTAATGTTATATTGGCAAGCCAAATTAAGGTCAATTGACAGCTGTCAAAACGGGACATGTGCAGTCCACTATCAGAGAACTCATAACATGGGCTCAGGTTCGCTCAGGTACACAATCTGGCATTTTCCACTACATGCCGGACGGATATGTCTTACTCACACTCGTAGTCTGTTAATTCGAATATTCGCCACTCTAATGAAGGTTAATTGACGGCTGTCAAACTAGAGTATACGCTGGCCATCATCACCTGAGTGTATCGCGGGCTCATTTTTCTATCCATTGAGGTCACGTAGTGTTTAAAGTTTTGCGCTGATATTTTAATTTGATCACGGGCTCAATTCGAAGCCCCATAGCTTAGAAAATCTATCCATCCTAGAAAATTCGGCAATCACGTGACCGTACACCGACCACCCGACCTTCCGTCGGTCCGCACCACAGGCATACCAATGTTTAATATCAAACTTTCTAGCTAGTTTGGGAGCCTGCAACCTGATATTGTACATCCATGTTTTGATTAATTGACAGCTGTCAGAATAGTGTTTCTGTTTCGCCTGTCCGTATCGCGGGCTCAGGTATCGACCCACTGAGTTCGAGTGTTTTTTGAAGGTATACTTTTCAAATGATCGCAGGCTAAAGTTAAGTTTTTTTAAAAATGCATATAAATTAAGTCATGTTCATGAGCAGCACTTTTAAAATATTGATTTCGAACTGACCTCGGACGCAAAAATTCAACCGGCTTTTACATTTACATGCAGGAAAGGCAATCGCTTTTGACTTTTCTCACTGTCACGCGTTGATCACGCTCTACGTCCAAATCATATGTTCTGATTGGTCAAAATTTGACGGGTGAGTTCCTGCGGAAAATTTATGCAGCGTCTGGAAACTTGCTTACTGATAGCTGGAGCTGACAGAGTTTTTTCCGGGAGTTTTGTGTCATCTTGTGATGTTTTAAACTGTCTTTTTCTACTTAGCGTACAAAATGAAATACAGTTGCTATCAAGATTGTTCTGCAATTCATGGCTAGTTTGTTTATTGCGCTTTTTGTTGACAAATGCACCGCTTGTCAAAGTCATTGGAAATCCGATCTCGGATGGCATCGTTTTCAAAATTGAGCTTACTCACTTGCCCTTGCTTGAGGGGTAAGAGGGTTGAAAAGTCTCAAGCGATTCTGGAACACTTGATGACCTTCAGAAGCAGCATCTCGACTGGTAAGCCTGAGCAATTATTGTCTTTGATGTGTTTTTTTTTTCGGTTTCCTGAAGTCGAGCGTACGGCTTAAGTTTATAGACGAGCAATGATCTAAACTTACAGTAGTATCAAGTTTAAAAAGCCTTTAGACATTTTCTGACCACAAATTCAAAGAAAAGGTTCCGAAGATTATTTAGTTATGATTTTGGCTGTAAACAGAAAGCTCTGAGTGATTTTCTTGCCTCGAGTTCATCTTGAAAAAGAGAAAACACCGGGAGCCGGCTTAAAACATAAATAAGCTTATGCTTACGTGACTCATGATTTTCAGAGACTGACTTTACTCTCAATACTTCTCTTCGTGAATGAAAATTATTGTCTCTGTACATGTTTCACCGAATTATATTTATTTTATTGATTGTTAGTAGTCCCTCTCGCAATTTTTATCGCTGCACCGGTTGTTTCCAGTCCAACATAAACATCGCATGCAGGAATACTCAAAAAGCCGCGAGTAAATGTCACTCGCTTTTAAAGATTACGCATAACAAAACCATACACAGTTTAATAAATAAAGGGAAATAAAACCTAAACATAATAATTTCTCTATCATGTTGAATCGTAAATGGTAACTCTATTAGTCGCACTTCAAATTTGGTGCCTGTCAAAAGTGAGAACCCGTCCGGCTGGCCGGAAAGGTGATTTTGGGAATTTTTTTTATCGTTTTCATTAAAAGCCCGTAATTACTACCCTGCATATCACATAGGACCAGCTTTTTCTAACTGAAAAGTCCCGGCATTATCTGAGAATTCTCTTGATGACAACGTTTTATAATTCAATGCTATAATTTGTTGTGCAAAGGAAGCGCGTGCATTGATCGTCGTGGATATTGAATGAGTGCAAATTATCTTGCAAAATTGTGAAAAACTGCAGAATTATAGGTTTAAATAGGGCAAAAAAGAACAAATTCTGTCCGAGATCTGTATGATAAAAAAAAGGGGCGTCAGAGTACTGTTTACCTGAGACGTGATGAGAAAAAGTATGTTTAAAAGGCTGGTTTACACGCCACCAGATTCGTCGCCAAGATTTACCAGTAAACTAAACTTGTCGAACACAAAAAATCCGGCCTGATAATGCAACGTGTAAATTGGCTGCCACCAAGGACTATCGTGGCGCGTGTGTTTCTCAAAACTATATTTCGGGGTTGTCCAATTATCCATAGTCTCTCTAACGGAGCAATATTGGAGAGACTGGTGAATGCCACATTATGATGCAACAGCTAATGCAAATACAATACACGAATAGGTCTATTTGTTTTCCAGGCCTAATCTGCTGTGATCGAACATGATTGCTATTTTTGGGTGTACAAATAAGACTATTTAATAAATCAATGTAAAATTTGTTTCATTCTTGGACTGTCAAATTATTTTTCTCTAAAATCACTTAGCCTTTGCCTCAAAAGTCAAATGAATCTGCCCTGATCTGTGGATTACAAGTTTAGTGTTTGATTTGATTTAAATTATGAATTTATTAACGGGAGCTTCGCTTTTAGCCCTGGCTAAATCTATATATTACGTGACATGTTTCGGCTGTTCCCCGATCGAGTGAGCCATAAACCCAAATGTTTGGCTCTCAGCTGATGGCTTATAAGACCATAAAACAATAAAAAAGACAGCAAAATCGATCCTTCTCTTTGCCGACGACGGATCATTCACGAAAACAACCACGCGAGGAATAAGAGGTTTCAACTTCCGGCGTTTCTGACAGCCAATCAGATCTTGTGACATTGTTCTAACAGCCAATCAGCGTTACGGCCAAAATCTGGCCGTAACGAGCACAAAAGTGAATGAGTTTGTATCAGGCTCAGCGGTAGCCGTTAGAGAGAATGTATGAGAATCGCTCAAATTTGGCCTGATCTCAGGTTAAATACTGATCTGATAATAGCCTGCAAAGAGGTCTGCAAAGCAGGCGTATTTTGCTGTGCGATCGATTTGGACTTTCTACATACCGAGAGTTGGGGAGAGTCAAAAGATGATTCCAAGGGAGAGGTTGACGCGTCAAAATATAGGGGAGTAGTCTGGGAGCAAACGTGGTCCCGTGTGAAGTTCGTGCTGAAAGCAAGCACCTAGTGTAAAAGTGTTCATTAGGACCTACTAAACATGAAAAGTTTTGGTGCCAGCTTTGCAACTTGCTCAGACGGCTTTTTAAGGGGGGTTAAATTCTGACCCATGAAATCCAGCATGGAAACGAGGCTAAAACACATAATTCCTCATAACTTTGTTAATAATAGACGAAAATATACCAAACTTGCTCACATGATTGGACATGATCCTCCCTGTTGATTTATGCTAATTTACATAGGTCACGTGACCTTACGCATGAAAGCGAGGCTGAACACATAATTTTCGATAAATTTGTCAAAAAAATCCTTATCAGGCCAAACTTGCTCACCTTAGTCAGTTAGACATCTTGCATCGATTGGTACCACTTAGTAGTGTCACGTGACCCCATACATGGAAACGAGGCTGGATATATCTGGTAGCATCGTGTAGGATGGCATTTGTCTTGCCAAATGTATTAACAACTACTAGGCAGATACATATCTGGTTATCCGAGTTCAGATATAAAAACTTAAACTAATCATTGTCCTATGGCCCATAACACAGGGACAAGACGGATAAAGCAAATACTGCGGAGGCTCCATTTGAGAATCTATCTTGTACACATAATCAATAATTTTGCCAACTTATGATACTGGTTCCATGTATTCATTTTCGCATGTATATTGGAACAAGGGCAGAAAATGAAAATAGCGACTACTGCTATTTTATATATACAGTCATGAAAGTCTTACTGAATATCTATATACATTGTTCTGTTGTCCATTCCTATGGAATTTCCTGTTCGACTTCGTCTTCATCATACTCATCATCACTCTCAGCATACTCGTTCTGGCAATCTTCAGAGCACAGACAGAGATCAGTACAGACAAGTCCGGCTTTTTGACACTGACAACGGTTGTTAGAGCAACGGGACTTGGCGCACTTGCATCGGACAAGCTGTATAGTTGCCTCTGGAGCTGGTGGAAGATTTGTCATGACTGGTACCCACTTTCCATCTTCATCTTGCCATCCATAGCCTTCTGGTGAGGGCAACACCGGGTTTGCTACATGATCGTTGTTCCAAACAAGAAGCTGGTAGTGCGCTCTCAGTATGGCTTGATGGAGAGCAGCTTGTGTGGGCGGCAACCTCTCAGACTCAGCTTGATTTTTCTTAAAGAGGGACCATCTGAGGGCTTTGACAGTTTTGATGTCTGTCTTTGGTTGGTACATCCGACAAACCAGCTGTTCCACTCCACTTCTTGTGCCGTCATCTGGCTGTTAACCACAACCGAGGTTAGCAAGAGCTTGCAAGATAGGAGTGCTGGCGTTATCAAACTCATCCCAACAAGTGGCTTTTCCCTTTCCAGAGAAACTCCCAGTAACATCAGCTCCGGTCAACGCATGAAATGCTGGCAGCGCAGCCGTCTTAGTGGGCCCAAGGGCGTCTGCGATTGACTTCAAGTTGATAACTCTCAACTACTGCCGGTCCCAGTAACAAAGCAAGAGTTCGAGCACAAATCTGGATACCGTCGGAGAGCCAAAACAAGAACACCAGTGTCAGGAGAATATATAGAGAGTTGGGTAGCACCTTGAGCAGAGGCATCCAGAGCATGTAAAATAATCAACAGCAAAATATACGTGCCGTCCTTTCACGATATCCGGAAGGAGAAACATGCCACCTTCACTCTCTATGCGCTTCACAACAGTTTTCTCAATTTGTGACTCCACCCTCAACAAGCAATTGTACTCTACAGCCATGCCAAATCCATGGAGGAGATTAACCAGCTCTTTGCTTCGTACTGCTTGGTGTATTGCTAGGTTAACTGCGAGGTGTTGGAGCATTTCTCTAGTGCAGTAGACCGCTTTTGATCTCTTATTGTCAACCTGCCTGTCCGTTAGACACAAAGCTATTGTATTCTGCGCTAATTGCATTGCTCTTTTGTGTACCTCATTGCACTTTTTATCAGATAGTGTCTTATTGGGACCTTGGATTATCCACCTAAAGAAGCAGGTAAGCTCTTCGGGGCAGTGATCATGTGTCATTGTATCCAGAGAGCCAGAGAAGACCCATTTCTCGCTTCGATTAATAGCCTTTCTCAATATTGAAAAGGCATCGAAGAGAGTTTTCATAGATTCATCACTGTCAGCTGTGGATTCTACGATATGGATAGCGGCATCTCTACACTGCTTTACGCTGACCCACTCGGGCTCATTAGCTCTAGTGGGCTTATGGAACTCAACTCCCTTTATCTCTTTCTGGATAAGCTCTTTAACTGAACGTCGACTTAGAGTCTTTGGACTATTGTTCTCGTTTGAAATGGAATCAAAAGCCTGTTCCAACTGTGCCATGTTGAGTATTTCTCCGCTATTGAGGGCAGCTTGGGTAAGGTTCAAAAACTCCAGCTTAGCCGCTGTCTCACTTCTTGACCTTTCCTCGTCATCTTTGATAGTTTTACGCAGGACCCCAGTCACATGCTACGCCCAGCAGCTTTTATGATATTTAATATCAATGGCATGAGCGTCAGTGCTGTCTAGAGCCGTCGAGAGCTTCACGAGCAGTTTAGGATCCTTTGATTGCTTTACTGCATTATCAAGAGAGCTACCAGCAGATGATGTTGACACCAAATGCAGAGGGTTCTGGTACTTCGCTTTCTCTTCACAAAAGAAGCACAGATTGCTGTCATAAGAGACAGTTTTCGACCTTGTAAGAATGTCAAGGATGTCATTAACTTTTCAGCAATTCCAAGATGAAAAACACAATAAAATAAAAAGTTAAAGTTATAAGCCATTACACCTAGCAATTACCTGAAGCGATTCACTTGTCTTTCTTCGAGCTTCATTTGGCCCTCTAACCTCTCTCTGAAACCTCTTTTTTACCCTCTTGATCTTTCCTGAGTGGGTGGTTTCTTGGTAGCACGACCTATGCCATGTTGCTTTTTCTTTAAGCTCTTCTAGTGGTAGATCTTTAAGCACAAGCCACAATGTTTTCGAGTTGATGTCCTCGTACTTTGAACGTTCTTCGATGGCTTCTAAAAGCTTTTGATGGGAAGTTGGATTTAACAAGATTGGCTGTACTTTTTTCTTGGCAGATTACACATAGCTTAAAATCTAAAGGGGCATTAGACCGGCCAAAATCCGTCATACTACAAGCACTGTGATGGCTGTAAGTACAACGTGGCGGACACTCAAATAATTACCGCTGACCAATATTTCAGGCTCACAATCACCCAGGCCCCCTAGGTTAAGAATCCACAGGAATTTGTGCGAAATAGGATTGTAGAAATCGCTCATAATAAAGTTATATAAGCCACACGAAATACATTATCATTACACCTTTTTAGCTTTTATTTTTTTCATTCAAATGCTATACATACAGCATTAATATGCATTACAATGAGTCAACGTTATTGTCCTGGATGATGTGTTCACCTTTGGCGTGTTTTGCAATCCAGCCTCATTTCCATGTATGGCTCACGTGACACTACAAAGTGGCACCAATCAATGCAAGATGTCTAACTAGCTGAGGTGAGCAAGTTTGGCATAATAAGGATTTTTTTGGACAAATTTATAGTAAATTATGCGTTTCAGCCTCGCTTTCATGTGTAAGGTCACGTGACCTATGTAAATTAGCATAAATCAACAGGGAGGATCATGCCCAATCATGTGAGCAAGTTTGGTGTATTTTCGTCTGTTATTAACAAAGTTATGAGCAATAATGTGTTTTAGCCTCGTTTTCACGCTGGATTTCATGGGTCAGAATTTAACCCCCCCTTAAAAGCCGTCTGAGCAAGTGGCAAAGCTGGCACCAAAACTTTTCATGTTTAGTAGGACCTAATGAACATTTTTACACTAGGTGCTTGCTTTCAGCACAAACTTCACACGGGACCTTATCTTATGACATTTGCTCCCAGACTAGAGAGTGATTCCGGAGTAATTTTTCTTTTCAGGGTAAGTCCTGAGTCCAGGGTCCAGAGTCCAGAGTCCAGAGTCCAGTCCAGGGTCCAGTACTTTGCACGAGCGTGTTCATCAGCAGATCATAAACATGGCGACTGGGGACGGAGCTTCTACGGGGTCAATTGACGTTGAAGAGAGAGGCCGAGGCTTCAGAAAACAAGTTCCAAAGGTAGTTGTTGCAGTGGCCGATTTCGTTGCTGGTGATGAAACTCAAATGAACTTCAGTGAAGGCGACGAGCTTTCGATTCTTAGCGAGGAAACCCCAGATTGGTGGTGGGGTGAAATGAATGGATTTTGCGGCTATGTCCCTGCAACATATGTCGTCACCGAGACAGATTATGCCAAATACCATACACACAGACATGAATGGCAAGATGAGGAGTATTTTGGAGATTATGGAAAATTAAAGCTTCACCTGGAAATGCTTGGCGATAAACCACGAACCCTTGCATACAGAAAAGCTATTTGTAGACATCGCGAGGTTTTCGTTGGGAAAACGGTGTTAGACGTCGGTTGTGGCACTGGAATCTTAAGCTTGTTTTGTGCAAGGGATGGTGACGCCAGAAAAGTTTATGCTGTAGAAGGGAGTGCGGATATCGGAAACTTGACCTCTCAGATAGTTGCCGTAAATGATTTAAGTGATGTTATTTCTGTTGTTGTTGGGAAAATAGAGGAGGTAGAATTACCTGAAAAAGTTGACGTCATTTTGTCGGAATGGATGGGAACTTTCCTGGTTTTTGAATTCATGATTGATTCTGTCCTGTTTGCAAGGGATAAATGGTTAAAGCCAGAGGGAGTCATATGGCCGTCAAGTGCAAAATTGTTTATTGCACCTTGCTCCGCCAAAGAAACTTACGATGAAAACGTTACCGCTTGGAAAAGTCAATATGGATTTGATTTTTCACCTTTGATGGACAAAGCAAAGACCGAATTCCTTGATAGACCTTTGTATAACCATGAACTTGATCTCAATAATTGTCTATCAGAAAGTGCAGTTCTTCTTGACATTGATATGGAAACTTTTCCAAGGGAGAATCTCGAATTGATGTCAGGGCAGTTTGAGTTCATCATAAGAAAGGGTGGTACCTTTCATGGGTTAGGCAGCTGGTTCATGGTTATATTTGGAGGAGTACCAGTCCCAGATAACTCAGAGTACGAACTACTGTCGACTTCCCCACATCATGAAAGAACCCACTGGAAACAAAACTTGTTTCTTTTGGATGACCCAGTCTCTGTTAACCCTGGTAACTTCATCACTGGATTTGCTACCTTGAAGAGAAATCCAAAGTACAGGAGACACCTGAGTGTAACCTTTCACTTAAAAATTTTTCCTAGCAAATCTAATGGCAGCATTCTTCACAACATTAAAAAAAGATTTTTGATTTGGAGATAACTCCTGACTTACATATTTTTCACAGGGATGAGAACTTTGTTGATAGTTTCAGGTATGCTCCCTTGTTTTAATCTGTTGGTTACCTTAGGAAATTATTGCGCCCTCTAATATTAACTAGTTTAGTCATGGGCTATAGGAATCATGAGTTTCGACAAAATAAAGGTTTAATTTTTGTGTAATAACATCATATTGGTCACATTGAAGTCGTCATTTGTCCTTTCTGGTCAATTCTGCCAGTATATTTTTTGTCGAAAAGCCTCTTGGAAACACGCTTTGTTTTGATTCAGAAGTCGATTAGCATTGGTTGAGTCTTGATAGCCAAACTTTCTCTTTGAATCCTAATGTGCGGGCGCTAAGAGACTTTTTACCGATACAGCAGTCATATTGAATTAGTTAGATTTAAGGAGTATTATGGGATGCCTGGGGGCATGAGCACATTCCGATACGTTCGCTTAGTATTAACGCGCGCCTTTCAGGGCATTTTTTAAAAAAGTTTTCCTATAATAAGATTGTAGTGGGAATAAAAATCATTGTGCAGTGTTTGGATGTAATAATGATCGCCTTTTTCCCGAAAAATATGTTTGAAAAAAAATATAAAAAATTATATGTAAAATTTCCTACAAAATCTAAAAATTTAGTATAAATCTCTCTATATATACAATTAAAAAGGCAATTATGAGATTCAATTAATAAATCTATTGTGACTTAGTAATTGAAATTATCTTAAAACGTTAATTGATAAGTCATATTAAAAATAGTAAATCTATAAATCATAGGCTTCTCTAAAAATTAATATTTTTATTTTGGCTTTTAAAGGCCTCAATCTTGTTTCCATCCTTAATGCACGTGGAAGTGCATTGTTATACATAATTTCACGAGCCGTTAGGGAGTGCTATTTATGCCAAATATGACGTACAAATCATGCTATTATTTGTTTATACTACTCTCGCAAAAAGTTTGCAATTTTCACATGTAGGTATTTCAATTTAAGCTGAAATACCACTGCTCTAAGCCAATCAAATTGCAGAAACTTCTCATGTAGTAGTATAAACAGTGAAAAATCATATTTCTAATACTAAGCAAGTATAATGGATTGTGCTCATGCCCCCTGGGCATCCCATAGTACTCCTTAAATCGAATTAATTCAATATATCTGCTGTATCGGTGAAAAGGTCTTGCTTACAGTGTTAGGAGAATACACCACGCACTTATAGTGCCCGCACCTCAGGATTCAAAAAGAACATTCAGTTACCAGTCTTAACACATGCTGATCGATCGACTTCTGAATCAACACAAGTGGTTTCAAGGCTGTTCTACAAGAAATATATGGGGAGTTCAACACAAAAACCAAAATTTAACCTTTATTTAGTAGAAACCCATGTTTCCTATAGCCCATGGTTTAGGACGAAATCCTTGTAAACATACACACACAGTTTATCTGATGTGTGTATAGTCCTTTTTAAATATAGCCCATTTAAAATTGTTTGTAAGGTAGTTTACAAACGTGGTCATTGTTTTTATTGACCTATACAGCCTAGTCAAAATGTTTTATAATAATACGTAGGATAAACAGGGTAGTAGTGTGGATTTTATTCAATAATTACTAAGCCAACATGTTGAGTAGGTGGAAAGGTGAAAATTTTAAGAAAATGTTATGTAAATAGCTGGTGGAAAAGCTTTAAATGTAAGGACTTAAAAATGGAAATCCTGAGGATGTGGGGTCTTTAAAAAGAAACTCCGCCTACAGTAATCAGAGAACTTTAGACCTCGTTTAAAAGGGCCTAAAAAATTAATGATGACAATCCGCAGAAGATCAGCCACAAGAAACTGCCCCTATTAAAGTGCAACAAAATCTTCTTATTGTTCTCATTTTTTGGGCGAAAAAAAATTGTTTTAGCATTTTTCCTCTATATTTTATAATTTTTTAAAGTTTCTAATTGTAGTAGTTCTTACAGCCAATACAGAACACTGCACTTTTTGTTGTGATGTCATCGAAGATGATTGATGTTATGCAAGCAAACTTCTCTAAAGTGTAAGCTTCAATTATTCCTGATGCCTCCATTGTAGTGGGCTCCATAATATTTCATTACAAGTGGATAGGTGTGCCAAATGCATGAGGAGAAGAAGGAAATAGCTCACATGAAACACTTTCCCCTTTCTTGCTTACTGGTCTTATGCACCTGAGTACATGGGAAATTGTCTCCCCTGATGATGTGCAAACTGACATACCCAGCTTCCATAATGCTTGGTAATAGGACATAACAGAACTAACGTTAAACAGCTGTTTATCAATCAGGATAATTTATAATAATAATAACCTACAGATGCGAAAAATTTGGTAATCACGTGACCGTCCGTACGTCCACCCCCTACATGTAAGCCGATGTGAAATGTCACATTTAGTACCACTACACTGACGTGGATAACAGTGAAAGAGTTAGATCTAGAGAGAGAAAAATGAAAGAGACAAATTTTATTGCAAGAAAAACATGAAAATTTTATAGCGGCAGTGAGAAAATCAGAAATACTAGAGGCCGCCAGGGCAACAGGAACACATACGACATTTCCTCCATAAAACGTGTAAATCAGCTAGGAAGTTTCACGTTGTACTCCTGCAAAACGACGGCAAAGAAAGGGTTTTTTCGTTAATTAGACCTGCTGATATTTTTTTGCCATTCTCGTTGCCGTCGCCGTTTAGCATTATACGATTTATTTTTTTTCCTTGAGTAAACTTAAGTGTATTAACGAAAGCCACGCTTTTAGACCTGGCTAAATTTATATGTTAATAGTAGTATAATAGTACAATAAAATAGCAGAATTTTTTCTAACCAAGTATCATGGTTGGTCTCGCCTGTACGCTCGTTTGGATTTTTGTTTTACTTAAAACACTGCTAACAATGCTTTTGTGCCACAGTCACCATTACCTTATTCTGTCAGAGCTCAGGTAGAACTGTCGAGCACGGCCTTTGTTTATGACTACGACATGAGCACGGGCGGCAGTTCTTTGAGGAATTTGCACCTCGCCCAGAGGTAAAGAACGATAATGATGCCCACGCCCCATGCCCTATGCCCCATGCCTGTGAACCGATCTGTCTATCGCAAAGAAAAATGTGATAACCAAGAAAAAAAAACACTCATCCTTTAAAGAGAGAATTTACAGAGTTATAAATTTATATACGGGTAGCTTTTGCTTGATAATTTTATTTTGCATAGCAATAAAGTTCGGTTCGCATACATGGGCATCATTGTCGTTCGTCCCCCCCACCCCCCCTTCCGGCAAAGATGCTAATTCTTTGCAGAAACACCGCCCGAGCTTATTTCGTAGTCATTAAGGTGGCTCGATACAGTTTTTTTGAGTGAATATCTCTCACGTTTGAGCGTAAACTACGTCGCCATAAACAAAGATTTGGAAAAATTAACACCACAGTTGTATTAGATAAAGATGAAACTTTGTTATGATCAGGGTTGCAATGACATCATAGTTGTCGTGGCAACGAAATGACGCCATTACCTATTTTACTTGCAACAGTATTTCTCGGCACTGGGAACTGTTCTTCCAAAATCGTTTACTGGAGCTTTTTCCTACAATAGCCGTCTCGATGTTAGTGAAGTTTAAGCGAAATCTGTAAGAGCGTTATCGAGATATTTTGGGAAGAAGTTTTTATGGTTAGAAATACGGTAAAAAATGGACAATCTTGATGTTCGACTGTTATCTGTACTAAACGAAGCGCTTTTGACATGCAATTTCACCTCATAGTAGTTTCAATCTTTTTAAAAACGTGTGTGAAAGATCATGGAGATACCTCCAGCCGATTGCTAGAAAGAAGGATTTGATTATTATGTATCGAGGCGCTCTTATAGCGGTAATGTAAACATTTCGGTCTACTTTAACAAATTAGCGAATAATTGTTAAACCGCTCGATAATTTTTTTAGAAAATTTAAGACTCTTGAGATAAACTGTCCTTTTATATGACCTCTTAGTTTCAAGATTATTGATATATTGTAAGGCAGTAAAATAAGGGCTACAATTCGCTAATATTTTGTCGGAAATTTTGTCTTTACAAGTGAGAGTCTCTGATTATTCAGGGGTATTGTCTCAAGGTTTCATTTTCTCGTGAACAGCAGTAACTAACAATGCATTTGACATATGCAAAAATGCTAGCTATTGTTGTGCACGAAAAAATGAATTTTGGAGACAATACCCCTGAATAATGAGAGGCTAACACTTGTAAACACAAAACTCTTGACAAAATATTATCGAATTCAAGCCCTTATTTTACTGCCTTACAGTATATCAGTAATCTTGAAACTAAGAGGTCATATAAAAGGACGGTTAGTCTCAAGATTCTTAAAAATTATTCGCTAATTTATTAAAATAGACCGAAATGTTTACATTACTGCTAAAAAGAGCGCCTTGATACATACTAATCAAATCCTTCTTTCTAGCAATCGGCTGAAGGTATCTCCATGATCTTTCACACACGTTTTTAAAAAGATTGAAACTATATGAGGTGAAATTGCATGTCAAAAGCGCTTCGTTTAGTACAGATAACAGTCGAACATCAAGATTGTCCATTTTTTACCGTATTTCTAACCATAAAAACTTCTTCCCAAAATATCTCGATAACGCTCTTACAGATTTCGCTTAAACTTCACGAACCTCGAGGCGGCTATTGTGGGAAAAAGTTCCAGTAAACGATTTTGGAAGAACAGTTCCCAGTGCCAAGAAATACTGTTACAAGTAAAATAGGTAATGGCGTCATTTCGTTGCTATGACAACTCCGATGTCATTGCAACCCTGATCATAACAAATTTTCATCTTTATCTAATACAACTGTGGTGTCAATTTTTCCAAATCTTTGCTTATGGCGACGTAGCTTACGCTCAAACTTGGGAGGTATTGACCTTGAAAAACTATATCGAGCCACCTTAACAAAGGCTTCGACCACTCTCCCTGAGCTTTGATACGAGGTAGCTTGGAATTCCAATACCTACCGTG